AAATAAATAAATAAAGGGCCGAAATTATCTCCGTAATGCGCTTAGAAAAGCAAACAACCTTCACAAGTTTCCACTCGCGGGAGGAGCAAATCGCAAACCTTGTGCAGAGCCGGAGGAGTTGGGGTTGCGGCCCCGTGGTTTGGCTCTCGGGCTGGTGCTCTGTGTCTGCGGACAATTCCCATTGACTCAGGTAAAAGTTAAATGCCAGGGACTTACAGAGGTCGCGCCGTTGTTGTTTGGTTTTACTTGATCTGGAACGCCTTGGGTTAGAATAGCAGAGCTCACACGCGTGCCTCGCTGATGTACCTGCCTTCCTCTTGCAAAATCCACACTGGGAATAAGTGAGCCTTGCTGTAGCCTCTGAATCAAAAGCAATGTCCATGTTTCGTTTTTGTTTGGGATTTTTTTTAAGAGAAGTTTCCTGTGAGGTATTTGGTGGGTTGTATTGGTTTTGCTTTTACCTTCTTTATGGCGAGCAATGGGGTTTTTGTTGACTGTAGATGTTGGGGTTTGTCAGGTGTACTGATTCAGTGTTTTGATTACAGTTTTTAAAAGTCACTTAAAACAGAGGGATCTTGTTTATGAGTGTTTATGATGCTAATAAATCTCGCTAGAGTTGTGCCTGCTCCATAAAAGATGCCTGAATATACACAGGAATCTGAAAAATTGTTTTCATTCCTTATCCTTCAGGAGTGAAAGAATATCAGCTTTTAATTTTACTCTGAAGAGTGAAAAGAAATAGGAGCCCACAGGCTACTGACCTCAGAGGTGCTGATCAGTGGGCACCCTCATTGCATTTGAGACATCTGTTACTGTATCCAATAGAATTGCTGCAATTTTACCTTCTGTGCCATATGTAGACTTGTTTTCCTGGCTTTGTTAAGAAGCGTCTTGGATAGGAAAAGTCAAGTTTGCATAGCTCTGTGGACTCATTTGTTTTTCATAATGTACGTGGCATACTATATGTTCGATTTAAATATTTTTGCTTAACAGAGCTTAAAACAATTCTAAACACTTATTTCTCAAGCATTTCAGGGGAAAACAAATCCTAAGCTACTAGCTAAGCAGTATTCAGAAGCAAATATTTATAGAGGACAGGTATCATGCTTTTTTTTTTTTGAAAGTTAGTCTGTCTTAAAAAAATAAACAGCAAATGCACACCCCATCGTTAACTTGCAGTGGACTTGGACCAGGCCTATGGTCTGGGTGAGGGAATGCTCCCAGGAGAGCAGAAATTTTGGGTTTCTGTCAGATGATGTGCTGTGGACCTGCTTGTGTGAACTGCCCTGGGGTGGTCTGATGTGCAGTGGGGTCCCTGTGGGGCTCTCCTGGCTTGGAGCAATGTGGGATGTCACAGAGGAGCATGTGGCTGAGGTGTGCTCACCTGTCCTTTCTCAGGAGTTCTGTGTAGCCCCCCCTTGGCTCATCTGTCTTTTTGTCCCCAAACTTGGAATGGTGGGTGGGAGATTTTTAATCATTTGGGTCACTGCTGTAGTTTGGGGTGGCTCTGGAATCCTGTGGTGACCACAAGGAGCTTAGTCACTGTCTGTGTCCTCTGCATCTGTCTGGGCAGTGAGTTTGTCTTGCTTTCAGAGCTTATCTCCTCCCTACAGATTCAGCTCTTGCTCAGTCCATGTTTATTCCAATAAAAATGTTGTTCTTCCCACCAAGTTGAAGCTGAGCATTAGTTAAAATGTGAAGCCAGTTGATAAACTTTGATATTTGTATTCCAGGAGGTGCAGGGTAGACATGGAAATTGCAATGAAAAGAATTGCTTCTCTGAATGCAGTATTCATCAGCACAAAGCCTGCTAAGCTGATATTATATGGTAAATGGTTTGGTTTTAGTCTCCCAGAAAGAGGCTTTGTGTCTTAGGGTAATGGCAGTTGACATAAATCAAACATGCAATTGTCCACAAAATCATTTAATCTTCTCTTGTCGCTGGTTCTAACATATAGCTGCACTTAGAGCAGACCTGCCACTAGTGGTAATTGAATTGCTGTGCCTCGAAAATATGGGTTTGATAAATAACTGGAGTCTAATTTTTGAGATGGGTTGGTGCAGAATTTTTCCAAGTCTGCTGATTAAATAACAGCTTTTGTTGTGCAAAAAATTGTTATACTGGGGTAAGCCAATTTAATACTGTGGGGTAGGAACTCAGGGAAGAGTTATTTATTTTGTGTTATAAATTTAAATACTGAATTGTATTTAAGGTGGCAGGGTCTTGTCTTGAAGACTCAGAAATGAGTTGTCAAATGCAGCAGAGCAGACTTTATAATTTGATTGGTACAGAAGATCCTGCAAATCTGTAGTTTAAAACTGCAGAATAACTTCAGCAGTCCCACTGCTCCAGTATTTGCATGGGGAAGTAATAGAACATTTTCCTCTTAGCAATATAAAACAAAACAGGAAGTAGGGGAAGAAATAAATGATCAAGAGAAACTCAGTTTCCTTGTCATAAATAATTTGAAGCATTAGTAGTATATGGGAAGCAAAATGGGCAGTTGTTGTAGTCAACACTGCCTTACTTGTGAAATCAGGTAATCTTGTAAGGCATGCATTGATATATCACTAAATACCTGTTACAGATTAAAACAGCAAAGGAAAATGGTGGATTAGGAAAGAATATAATTTTTTATGCTTTAAGTAGCTGATTTTCTGATTTCTTGGTAATTTAGGTGTTGGATTTTGTATTTTGGTTTGTACTGTAGACCTCAAACTTAGTATGTGTTGTGTGTCTTTAATATTTATACCTGCAGACTTGCAAATTTGTTAGCTGACCTGTGGTTTCATGAGAGTTACAGCTGGTCAGAATGTGAAGAAAAGAGAAATATTTGGAAGAATATTTCTATGGGATTTTGATTGTCTAAGGAACAGTTGTCTTTATGTTTTTACTAGTAAAAAGAGCAGTGGTTGATTAAAATGGTAGCCTGGGTTTATGGGATTTCAGAAGAGTGAGAATGTCCTGAAGTAGTAAAAAGGGAATCAACTCTTCACCTTTTAGTAACAGGGAGCAGCCATGATGAAGTAATAGTTTGGTGTGTGCAGGTTGTGCAAACAAATGGGGTTTATCAAAGGTGACAGAATGAATGGGAGGGAGGAAGTAAAGGGATAACTCAAACCTGTATGGGAGAGGAAGAGTGTTTACTGTACTGCAACTTATATTAGCTGTGTCTCTTATGTTCCAGAGTTGGAGCCTGTGATCACTGACATGCTGTAGAGGAGCTCCAGTCTTAGCAAAGACCTTGGCATATTGGAGTGTGTTAGATTTCCTTCCACAGAAGGGGAAACAAAAAATATTTTTCTTGTCTTTGACCAGATGAAAGGTTGTGAAACCTTTTCTACTCTGTGTAATAAAGAGAGCTGTTTACAATTCTGAGAGCACTGTGTGTAATGTCACATTAAGTACTGCACTTATAAAATGTGCCAAGGCATTTTAGCAATTAAATCTCCTGGTAGGAAAACAAAACCCAGCTGACCATCCCCAGACAAACCCTTGGGAAACCTGGCCTTCCCAGAAAGCTGTACTTGATTAAAGGCCCTTTTCATGAGCCACTGTAGTAGAATAATGCTCATGACAAACACACTTGTGCATCAGTTGGTTGCAGTTAAAATGGAGATCTTGGGTCACACCAAGCCGGAGGAGTGGCAGAGACTCAGCTTTGTGCACAGGAGTGTACAGAAGGGGCAGAGTCATAACTTCCATTGCCATAGCCAAGGGATGGGGAGGGATGGCAGTCAGCACTTCAGCAGGGCGCCTGACTGCCCTGAATGGCTGCTGAGGGCAGAAGCAGCAGAGCAGAGGGGCTTGGCAGGAGCAGCTTGTCACAGGTGGGGATCTCTGTGTGCCTGGGAGGCTACAGGCTCCCTGTCCCTGGTGCAGCAGAGAGAGAGGCAGCTCCTTGGTATTGCTGTGCTGGGCCATGAACTTCCTGCAGCATCGCTGAGAACCCCCCAAAGGACAGATGGGGGCCTCCTCCTGATGGATCACTGCCACTCTGGAGAGTCTTGAGTCTCTTCTGTGGCTAAAAAGTCTCAGTGTTTTTATGACTTTACTGGTAAAAACCTGCTTGCATCTGAACTGATAGGTAAATTCCAAAGGATATTTCCTTGTCTGCAGGAGGGCTGTTGTGTACAAACCAGCCAAGCTGTGGATGGCCTCACCACAGAACCCTTTCCTTGGGATTAGATGTCTTAGATTTCCATGGATCACACCTGCACACAGAGGAGGGGACAGGATGCAGGGATCCCAGTGTTGCCCCTTCATATTACCCAGGGCAGAGCTGCCTCTTTGGCTGATTAGCTAGATTTGAACCAGGCTCTGGAGAAGGCAGGGCTGGTTCACAGGCTTTCACTACTTCCCATAAAAACTGAGGAAAACCTTTCCTTTCAGGAGAAATCCCCTTTTCCCATATTAGCCCAGTAGAAATGGCAGACCTTAGACCAATGGAATCAGGCTCCTTTTGTATATTGGAAAAGTGTTTATTACAGACATTTCTTAAAATTTGTTTTAATTACTTTTTACAATGAGCAGTTGCATAATGTGTTCCCTGCCCTTCCCTCTTGCTGGTGCCTTATAAGGGAGGTAACCAGAATGGCAGCCAAATATCAGCCTGATGATGAAAGAATTGTTCCACTTAAAATGTCACTAATTTTTAGCCTGCTGAGTCCTGTATGAAGAGGAGAGCTTACATTTGTAGCTCCCCAGACAAAAGCACTGCACTGCATTGTTTAAAGACAGCTGTTGTTTCTTACAACAGCTGAAGTTAAAGATTGCTCTGTTCTGTGCTCTGTGGCACTCACAGAGCAGGAAAGGAGAACAAATTTAATCACAAGGTAAGGATTTAGTGGGAGTACCTGTTTCTTCAAACAGTAGCAACTGGATAGAATGAAGGCTGTTTAACAGTAATTAAAAGTATAATTTAACAAGCTGTAAAATCTGGAACTAGAAGGGAATTTTGTGTTCTGCGTATGAGGTTCTCTGTGGGATGTGGGACAGTCATTCAGCAGTGAGAGCCACGGCTGGTACAGACAGGTAACAGGCAGCTGTTAAAGCACATTCCCATGCAGTGGGGTAATGGCTGGGGCTTATCAGGCACTGGTGCAGCAAATGCTCTTGGTGAGACTCAGCAAGGCAGCTTAAAAAGCTGGGAGAGTTGGGATTGGTCAGCCTGGGGAAGAGAAGGTTTTGGGGTGACCTCATTGTGGCCTTGCAGTGCCTGAAGGGAGCCCACAGGAAGGATGGAAAGAGGGCCTGGAGTGACAAGGGGCAATGGCTCCAAGGTGACAGAAGGGAGGTTTAGATTGGATATGAGGCAAGAACTGTCCCTGTGAGGGTGCTGAGGCCCTGGCACAGGTTGTTCAGAGAAGCTGTGGCTGCACCATGCCTCCAATGTTCCAGGTTGGATGGGGCTCTGAGCAAGCTGGGATAGTGGGAGGTGTCCCTGCCCATGGCAGGGGGCTGGAATTGGATATTCTTTAAGGGCCCTTCCAACCCAGGCAGTCTGAGATGCTCTGAAGTAAGGCTGCCTTGTGGTCCACATCGTGTAGTTGTGTGTCTTGGAAGGCAGTCAAGTGCATCACAGCAAATTCTGACTTTCAAGGTAAGGTGAAAGAAAGGAATTGTGTAATTTCTGGTGTCATTAACTTGCATCTTTGTCACTGGTTTTTATTGGTTTTGTTTGTGCTTGGTTGGTTCCACTAAAGTGATAAAGAGCTCTGGTTGAACAGGTGTGTGGCTGTTCTTTGACTGACTTGCCATATTTCTCTTGTGTAAATCAGAAGTTTTATTGTGCCTAAGGAAAATTTCTCTTGCTAAACTGATCTGTCTGCTGATAGTTTAATTTATTGCCTTCACTTAATGAAATTAGTTATAGATGTATCTACATTTCCATGAATGCTGTAGGAAAGAAAATATTAATATTCAGATTTATTGGGGAGGAGAGGAGAGAAACAAACCAACCCTGGTGATATTGCAGACACAGTGTCTAGTAAAGTCTTATTGTTTAGTCCTTCCCCAATCTTCACAGCCATAGGGAGTCTTAGGAAGTAGTGACTAAGGGCAGAGAATTGAGGTTTATCAGAACAGGAATTCTTCATGAATTCATCTTTCAAATCTCCTGTGAACAAAGAATATAAATGACCACTTTATGTTGAAGTGTGTTAGATGATTCCTCTTATGGTTAATTATTGTATGGACACTCCTGCTCTGTGTTTAATTTAACAGGGAAGGAGAGATCATCTAAAGTCTGCACCACTTGAGCATCTTAGCCCACTTGTAGTCTGGATATGGTGACCTCACTGCACAATTGCCTAAGCAGCAATTAGAAACTTTCCTGTGGGGTATTTTTCCTTCTTAAAAAAAAAAAAGCAAAAACAAAAACCTGCAAGAATTATGTTAAGAACACCTGGAATAATCCTGTATAAGTTGCTTATTCTTTGTGAAATCAAGGTGAAGGTGAAGTTGGACAAAATGCCAATAAGCACCAGAGGCTGGGGTGCTTATTGGCATTTTGTCCAACTTCAACTTTACCTTGATTTCATAAAGGCTTATTATCTGGGGGTTCACTCCCAAGCCCAGTGAACCCCAGACTGCTGTCAAGGCTCAGCACATTCTCAGCCCATCATTCCCCTCCCAGGTCTCTGCACCACAGGTTGGAAATCACTAAGTTATGATGAGCTGTTGTGGTAGGAATGAGCACCTTCGAAATAGTTTCAGATAGGAGATTGAATTGCAGGAAGATTTTGAGAAGGAGATCTGGAGAAACAATACCAGTTGTTTGGGAGATGAAGGGAATACAGAAGGGAATTCTTCTGCTTGTTAAATCTTTTTCTTCTCTTTTCTTCTTGTCTTTTTTTCCCCATGAGCCTGTGATAAAGGGAAAAGAACAAAGTGGAATGCTTTAAATTGTCAAACTTTGCTGGCAAATCTTCAAAGAAATTGGAAAATTTTTTACCTTTCTTACATTGCACCAGTTCTTGACTGCTCTAGTTCTCAGTAAGTACCAGTGTTTACAGGCGACACTCACCCATTCCTTCAGGAGGAAGGAACACACTGTGAGCCCCATGTGCAAGGCTGTCTCCAATATTTGAGGCCAGGCAGCTGTGGTAGTGCCACAGGAGAACAAATCTGTGGGATGAATCTTTGGGTTCCATCTGTGCTGCTGTGCTATTCCCATATAGAGGTGTCCAGGTGAGGATTAGAATGTGTTTACCAGCTAATCAGTTTGAGCAGGTAAATCCTGGCCCTGCCAAGGGATTGGTTATACCTGACATGTAATTTAGGTGCAAGTGAACTTGTATGAAAGTTTCTTGTGACGGGAATGGTGATGTGTGCTCTTGTCTTCCCAGCCTTGCTCTGGGCTTTATCACAGTGAGGAGTGTGAAATGAATGTCATTCTGATATGGTCAGTGCAGAGAATTTCAGGCCATGGCTGTGTCAGTGGGCTTGACCAGTATGTGGATATTTCAGTTAATGTATTTGAGCTCTAATCCCAGTTCCTTCCATGGGGATTGGTGGTGCTGATGCTGCTGTCAGTGACCTAAAGGAACTTTCCACTTGCTTTTTCAGGATCATCTGAGTACAACCTGCCCTGCTCCCTGCTCCCAGGTCAGGCTGGAAGCATTGTAAGCATTGTCTCTGGAGCTGGGCTTCATTCATAACTCCAGAGTCTTAGGCTCACCCTTGGATACCTTTAAGCCCCATTTAATCCCAGAGGGCACCTGACTCACATGAACTGACTGCTTTTGCTCTCAGACACGTAAGCCACTTTTGTAGTGGCACATGAAAAAAGCAAGAACAAATCCCTTTCAGAGTTCAGGAGAAAGAGGTGAACATTGTATCACCAAAACCAGGGAAGAGAGAATTTCTGCTGTCTGAATACAGGCTGACCTACAGCACTGACTGGAGCTGCTGCTCACAGCTTGTGCTGCAGCCTGGCCGCTGACAGAATAACTTTGCTGAGCACCTCTGCTGCAAAGAGGTTCCTTGGAGCCTGCCAAAAATACCGTGCCTTTACCTTTGGTCCTCAGTAAGACACACTTTGCAGGATACAAAGAAGAAATGTGCTTGCCCTTTTTATGTTCAAATAAGCAAAATAATGTTCTGCTCTGTAAAATAATCTTTACAGTCAAAAGGAACATTGGGACAACGACCAATGGATACACATATTTTTTTAATGTGTACTTTGGATCACTGCATTTGAAAGGATTGAAATCATAGTGGAAAGTTACAAAAGAAAAAGGAAGTAATTATGAAATAATTGAGGGGGGGAAATTGTTATACTGTAATAAAGATAAGAAGCTTTAGCTAATTTTCTCTCTGTCTTTTTTGTTAAACAAGCAGCAATATTTTGAAAGCAAATTTCAGTTTTGTTTATG